ACAGATTTTTTTTTACCATATTTCAATTGTTTCAGGTATCTCAAATTGCTATTTATACTCAACAACATTTCAAAATTATAGTTAATGCACCTATAGCTAGAGCTTGGTATTTAAACCATTAATTTTAAGAGGAACATATTACTACATCACAACCTTTTTTTTATATTTTGATAATTATATTTGAATGATGGTCTTCTCAAGTGCACACAGGTACACACACACACACACACACATACATACACACACTGTGAATTTAAGATCGTATCCTGAGGAGTCTATAAGCACCTCAGACTGCCAAAGGCAGGGATTAGGACCCCAGAAACATTGAGAGTACATATAATTCGTGGCTGTCATTGGCAAGAAGACACTAGTAGATCCCTAGAATAAGGGTGATTCTTCCAGGATAAAAAGTACATAAATACATTAATAATACATATTATTCACGATAATTATAATTAGTTATCATAATTCATAATATCACAAATTAAATATCCCTTATCCAAAATACCAAAAACCAGAATTACTTCAGAATTTAGATTTTTTTCAACTTTAGGAATATTTGCATATACATAATGAGATATCTTTGGATGGGACTCAAATGTATACACAAAATACATATATATTTCATATACAATCTTCTACACATCACTTGAAGATGATTTTATGCAATATTTTAAATATTTTTTTGCATTAGCTGGGCTCATTGGCACAGACCTGTAATCTCAGTGACTAGGAAGGCTAAAACAGAAGGATCACAGGTTCAAGGTCAGCCTCAGTTATTTGGTGAGAACCTGTCTCAAAATTAAAAAATGAAAAGGAGTAGGAATGTAGCTCAGTGATAAAGTGTCGCTGGGGTCAATCCCCAGTACCAAAAAAATGGTGATGATGATGATGATGATGATGATGATGATGATGATGAATGAAACAAAATTTCAAGGTGTGGAATTTTCCACTTGTGACATTTTGGTGCTCAGAACATTTTCAAATTCTGAAGTGTCCACTCTATCAAGATATGTTTTTTAAACTGGGAAAGGTGTTGCATGCCTGTAATCCCAGTGGCTCAGGAGGCTGAGGCAGGAGGATTGCTAGTTCAAAGCCAGCCTCAGCAACAGGGAGGTGCTCAGAAACTCAGTGAAACTCTGTCTCTAAATAATACGAAATAGGTCTAGTGATAAAATTTTAGTAGGCTTCAATTTGTTTATTTATTGATTTTTTTAGAGCATTGTTAGGTTCGTGGAAAACTAAACAAAAGGCACAGGTATTTCCTCCAAGATATATTTTTGTCTAAAAACATGTGATTAAAATTTTTGTTGCTTGGGAGGCTGAAGCAAGAGGATTCCAAGTTCAAGGCCAAGATGCTGTCTCAAGATAAAAATAAAAAGGAATAGGGGTGTAGATCAGTGGTAGAGCACTTGCCTTAGTCTATATGAGGTCCTGGGTTCAAGCCCCAGTACCAAGGAAAAAAGTCTTCTGCAAAAAAGTGATAATGAGAAATTCAGTTTAATTCAATTCAACCAATACTTATTAGGAACCATTGTGTGCTGGGCTACCTACTGGGTACTAAGATTTTAAGATTGATAAGGCCTGGCCCCCTGCCCTGAGTAGCTAGAAAGACAATCATGTAAACAAACAATTATGATAACTTGTAATAAGTGCTAACCATCAGTACTCACAGAGTGCTGTGAGAACTTGGTAGACAGAAGGATTAGCTGGCCAAAGAGGTGGGGTGGGTGGCTGGGCAAGAACACTTCACAGAGATGGTGATACCTGAGCAGTCTAGAAAGATGAGTAATGGTTTAGCAGACAGAAAAAGTATAATGTGAATCAAAGCACTTGCAGAGAATTGCCAGGGAATGCCAAGAACAAGTTTTGCTAGAATGTAAGGTATATGGGGTGGGGGTGCGATAGACAGAGATGAAGCCAGAAATTCACTTAACATCTTGGCCAGACTGTTATAAAAGATTGCTACTCAAAGTGTGGTCCTAGGACTAGAAACATCTACATAACCTTGGAATTTGTTAAAAATGCTAAATCCAGGGGGCTGGGGCTGGGGCTCAGTGGCAGAGCACTTGCCTAGCATGTGGGAGGCACTGGGTTCAATCCTCAGCATCTCATAAAAATAAACAAATAAAATAAAGATATTGTGTCCATCTACAACTAAAAAAAATTTTTTTAAATGCTAAATCTAGCCAGGCATAGCGGCACATATCTATAATCCCAGCAGTTTGGGAAAGCTAAGGCAGGAAGATTGCGAGTTCAAAGCCAAACTCAGCAATGGCAAGATGCTAAGCAACTCAGTGAGACCCTGTTTCTAAATAAAATACAAAATGGGGCTGGGGACATGGCTCAGTGGTCAAGTGCCCCTGAGTTCAATCCCTGGTACAAAAAAAATAAAAATAAAAAAATAAAAGCTAAAAAGCTAAATCTGCCAGGCACAGTGGCATACTCCATTAGCCCTAGTGACTCTAGAGGCTGAGGCAGAAGGATTGTGCGTTCAAGGTCAGCCTCAGTAATTTGGTGAGACCCTGTTTCAAAATTTTAAAAAATATATAATAATAAAAAGGACTGGGGATGTAGCCCCAGAGTGCCTGGATTCAATCCCCAATACCAAAATAAAAATGCATAACCTTTTTTTCCCATTTTTTTATTGGTACATAATAGTTGTACTACTAATGGGATTTGTTGTTACATATTTATATAAGCACACATTACAAAATATAACAATATAATTTGGCCAATGTCACTCCTCAGCACTTCCCCTTCCCTCTCTACCTCATGCCCCTTGATTCCTTCCACTTCTGATCTCCCTTTGATTTTCATGAGATCCACCCCTATCTTTCTTTTTCGTTTTCCTCTCTGGATTGCACATATGAGAGAAAATATATAATCCTTAACCTTCTGAGTTTGACTTATTTCTTTTAACATAATGATCTCTAGTTCATCCATTTTCCTGAAAGTGACATAATTTCATTTTTTTATATGATGGAATGAAACTCCTTTGTGTGTATCTACCACATTTTCTTTATCCATTCATCCATTGATGGATACCTAGGCTGATTGCATAGTTTTGGCTACTGTGAATTGTGCTGCTATAAACACAGGTATACATGTAACACTGTAGTATGATGACTCGAATTCTTTAAGATAAATGCGGAGGAGTGGTATAGCTGAATCATATGGTGTTTCCATGCTTAGTCTTTTGAGACACCTTTATGATGATTTCCACAGTTGTTGTACCAATTTACAATCCCATCAACAGTGTAAAGGTGTTCCTTTTTCTCCACATCCTTGTCAGCATTGATTATTATTTGTATTATTTTGTTTGTTTGTTTTGCTTTTGGTTTTTTTTTTGGGGGGGCAGAGTTACTGGGAGTTGAATCCATGAGTATTTAAACACTGAGCCACATCCCTGCCCTTAAAAAAAAAAAAAAAAAAATTGAGACATGGTCTCTCTCAATTGCTTATGACCTGGCTAAGTTGTTGAGGCTGGGTTTGGACTTGCAATCCTCCTGCCTCGCCCTCCTGAGCTGCTGGAATTACAGGTGTGTAGCACTGTGCCTTATTATTTGTATTCTTGATGCCTACCATTCTGACTAGTATGAGATGGAATTTCAGTGTAGTTTTAGTTTGCATTCCCCTAATTGCTAATGATATTGAACATTTTTTTCATATATTTATTGGCCAAAAATTGCATAATAATTGGACTCCACTCCCAGATCTACTTGATAGGTGAAATTTCCTGGTGATTTGTTTGCACATTGAAATTTGAAAGGCACTGTTGTAAACTGTTAAGTGCCAAGCTACATATGTAACCCCTATGTGCTATGCAAAGTAGAAAGTAGGGGAGTAGATAAAAAAAAAAAACAACTCTATTTTCCACTACATAATAAAAATTTTTACTGGTCAAATTCCCCTGGTGAAACTGGCAACCAGTCCTGGTTTTAAAGATATGCTCTTCTAATCAGAAGAGGCTGGAATGTATATTCAACTGGTTCCTAGAACGTCATCATATTAGCCATTAACTTCAGAAGCGGTGTTTTTTTTTTCCTTGAGACCTTGAGATAACTGCAGTTACTTAACCCATGCCTAGAATGCTTAAAGTAGATTATGTTTTATATCCAGCAGTGCTATTTGGTGGTGGTGATGCTAAGGTTTCTTTCTTTCTTTCTTTCTTTCTTTCTTTCTCTCTCTCTCTCTCTCTCTCTCTCTTTCTCTATCTCTTTTTCCTTTGGGATGAGGGATTGAACACAGGGTTGTTCTGCAACTGAACTAGAGTTCCAGCCCTTTTTATGTTTATTTTGAGACAAGTTCTTACTAAATTGTTGAGGCTGGCCTCTAACTTGGAATCCTCCTATCTCAGTCTCCTGGGTTGCTGGGTTTACAGCAGTGCACCACTCTACCTGGCTATGATGCTGTTTTTATAATAAAGACAATAAGAGATTCCTCAACACACTTTTTTCTCTCTCCATTAATATTAGGATTAGTTGTAAGGTGTTTGGTGTAAATTTTAAGGGCCTAATGAATTACTAGTATTTAGTACTATCTCACAAACAACAATGATATTCCAATAGGCAACAGAATGCCTATTTTTCTAAAATGAAAGAATATTATCTGCAAGAAAATTCCCCTTCTGGATCAATATTGGCTCTTATTGTATCCCTGTGATTCTTTCTTTGCTTTGGTATAAGTAGCAGAGTGATGTCTTGGAAGTGTCCACAATTCCACATTTCCAGGAAAATATCAGAAGGTGCCACACAGTACTCCAGCCTATGGAAACAGTTGTCTGCTCTTTCTAGCTGACAGTCGAAGAGTATGAGAATAGGGAGAAGAGTAGAAAGGGGAGAATTAGAGCTTAGCTATTAAAGTAACAAATTCCAAGCACACCACTACTCTTTCCCTCTCTCTCACACTCCTTCCTTCCTTCCTTCCTTCCTTCCTTCCTTCCTTCCTTCCTTCCTTCCTTCCTTCCTTCCTTCCTTTCTTTCTTTCTCCTAAGTTCATGTTAAACAGGTAATGGGCCCACTATCATAACATAAGTTTAGAGGGAGGCACATCTCACAAAACAGCATGAATGCCCCATCATCATGTTTATGAACTGAAAAGGATCTACACACTTCCTTTCTTTAGGAACTTCTTCACTGGCATCAACTGCGAACAAGGCCAGCTCCACAGCAGATGCAGAAGAAACAAGAATTTGCACACTAAATAAGGGAAGTGACAAAAATATAAACCCATTTTATTATTAATTAATTTTTGTACCAGGAATTGAACCCAGGATTGTTTAACCACTGAACCATATCCCAGCCCTATTTATTTATTTATTTTATTTTAAGACTATCCCTAAATTGCTTAGAATCTTGCTAAATCACTGAGGCTGGCTTTGAACTCACGATCCTCCTGACTCACCCTACCAAGCAACTGAGATTACAGGTATGTGCCACCAGAAACCTGGCTAATCCTATTTTATTATTAAAGAAGATATGAACATGTGGCTAGACACAGTGGCTCATGCCTATAATCTCAGCTGCTCAGGAAGCTAAAGCAGAAGGATCACAAGTTCAAGGCTAGGCTGGACAACTTAAGGAGACCTGTCTCAAAAGATAAAAAGGACTGGGAATGTACTCTGTGGTAGAATACTTGTTCAGCATGTACAGGCCCCTGAGTTCAATCCCAGTACAAACACCAAAAAAAAAAAAAAAAAAAAAAGAACTTCTAGTAGGATCAGCACTAGTAAAACTTGCTAAAATTCCTAAATTACTACTAGGACATGAAAAATAAAAACAGAAATACTCTATTTTCCTCAAAATCAACTAGTTTCTAAGTTTAGCTATCAAGCCGATATAAAATTTGTCATTTACCTGGCATATACCCCATTACTGACAGCACCATATTTTCTTCTAGTTTAAAAACTCCAAAGGTTGGGCACAGTGGCCCACACCTGTAATCCCAGGAATGGAAGTAGGAGGATCTCAAGTTCACAGCCATCCTAATCAACTTAGTGAGGCCCTAAGCAACCAACTCAAATAGAGTTTATACATCTTTAGTATTTTGCTAAATCTGTTCAATTCCAATCAATCAAGAGCCTCACAGTGACAGCTGAGGCTTAAATTGGACCTAATAAGAGTATTTTTTCAATTACCTTTTTCTAAATAGAATAAAGCTGCTCACCATTCTGCCCCTGTCTCTATCTCCCCTGCCTTGGTGGCCAGGGGAAGGAAATGCTGGCCATCTTTCAGTCCTGACAAAGATGGAAAAAGAGAAAGGTGCTAAGCTATGGATGGACTGCCAAGTTCATGCCAGCTGTAAAAAGGGAAATATTAAAGCCACAGCAGCCTTTTTGAGAAATCATTGATGCCAGGCACCACAAGAAGGAAATCTGCATTGGCAGGTTTTGTTATTTTTTAACTTGACCCTGATGATACCTGCTGGGCTACCTGTGCTTTCTGCCAAAAAAGTGTCAGATGAGGGAGGAAGTTTGCACACCTGGTGAATTCAACCTCACAATGCCATTTTGAAGGCAGGAAAGAGAGAGAAAGGCAACTACAGAAATGAACAGAGCCATGAAATAGAAACTAGGGAGGAGGAGGAAGAGTAAAGAAACAAACACTTGAGAGGAATTCTTTTATGACATTTTTAAAGATCGTATTACACCACAGGGACAGTAATAATTAAATAGTATATTGGCCCCAGAGTGTGAGAATACGCCACTCTGGATTTGAATTTTTGTACCTAGAGCTCAAAAGTAAACTCCACATCAACCACTGTGTCTATCTTAGATCTTGATGACCTATTTGGCTAGGCTGCTATTCTGTGGAGTTTCCAATTGCATGCAATTAAACATTAAGTAGTTTTTTAATGGGCTGGCTTTCCCAAAAGGGCCTCTCTTTAATTTATTTACAATCATTATGTCTGTCAAAAATACTAAGTAATTTCTTTTGCCCATTCTAGTGACTTTGGTCATTCCTTTAACAACTCTGTTTTTTGGGGGGTGTTTGTTTTTGTTTTAGGAGTCTGAGGCAATTGGAGAGGATGAAGGAGGGGGTAGTTTCAAAGACGAATATTCAAGTCAAAGCCAAGCTTGTTAGCAGCAACTGCCATACAATAGAGCCAGGACACAAGACACCATATGGAGCTTCAGCAGATCCCTACACCCTGAGACACATCTTGTGTGCTGTGACCTCCCTTCACACCCAGGACACCTGGACAGGAACCCTGAGATTTGGATGATGAATACCACAAAATGTGCTTCTACTCATTTGAATACTGAGTTCTATTCAAATGTGTTTTGGAGGGGGAAAATGTTTTCACTCATCAGAGTGCCAACAAACATTAAACTTCTGTGTCATTTCCATTTCCACATAGCTTTAAACCCCAAAGTGCTTTCCTTTTGACTCAGAAGTCTCTGGATCTTGCACTCATCACCCAGCATTGGATTCTCCCTTAAACATAAATGTGAGCTTCTGGAAGCTGAAACTTGTGTGTTCCAGATCTAGAATGGTGCCTGGAACAGTATTTGCTACATGGATTGATATATCTTTAATGATAGCCCCAACTTTTCTAAATTCTAAAGAAATTTTAATTGGAAACTTAACTTTGAATAAGTCTGACACCAAAACGTTTCCTGTAGTCATTCTAACATATATTTTATGGCATCTAAGGCCAGAAAAACATCATGGTTTTATTACCCATCTAATTGTTAGTAATTCAGTTGGTGTTCATTGTTTGAAGAAATTTACAATGGCTGTGAGAAGTTGGCAATGCGCTTGGTTATTCTTTCAATCTCCTGAGGGGGCCAAAACTAAAGTGTCTTCAAGGCAAATACTGACTCTTATTAAGTAACTACATTTCCTTATGGAACAAATGCAAATTCATATGAACCTACAGAAATCCCTTTGGCAATAACACCATTAGTGACATACAACTGTCAAGAGAACTGAAAAGTAAGAGGTGAGTTTAATAAGCACACAGTTAGATAAATTGTAGAGGGAAACTCACATCTAAAAGGTCATTTAGTAGTATGTCCACCCTTGGCAAATATGGAACATTTATTTCCCCAAGGTGCAATTGCAAGTGTTCTTTCTTTCCTAGCTTTTTATGCTCTAAATTGGAGTCTCTGCAACTTCCCTTGAGGGACTTTCATAGCTTGTGAGAGGTCATCATTAAGAAATTTCTTGATTTCATTTCTTCAAATTAGCCCCTTGGACAACCTGACTGGGAACAATTCTTCCTGGCTGGTGGTAAAGCTTCTTCAGACACTTGTAGGTGCAGGTAGTTGTCAGGTCCTTGCTCCATCCAGACATCACAAAGGACATGTCACCTCCCTGCCTGTGTCCTGAGACATGTTTTGCTTTTCTAATCTTAAACAAATTGCTTGCTTGCACAGACCTGTGTGCTGAAGACCTGCCAAAGCCGATGACTAAAGGCAGCTTCACTCTTTGCAAATGTGGTCCATTTGCCGATTCAGTCTTTCTTGAGGTATCAGGTTCTCTAGCCACTTACTCATTTTCTCCAAAATTCCTTAGAGAGCTGATCGCCATCTTCAGTAAATTCATTTGAACAAATTCATTAGCTTCTTCTCTTTTTCTGCCATCTTCCATACTAGTTGATTTGCATAAAGTTTTTAAAAAATATTCCCAATTATCTCCTTACTTCTTTTTTAAACTAAAAGCATGATTTATAAGGACTTCCTTACTTTATCACTAAACTGCTTTACCTTACTTTTCTTATTTAATGCCAAAGTTTAGGGGGGAAGCGTAAAATGTGCTGGCAGTTCTTTTTGAGCTACAGTTAAAAGAGTATTAAAACTATGTTTTGACAGTGTTTTTAGAAATGAATTAACTTACATTACATGGTAATAAATATGCCAGTGTCACTCAACTACAGTGAGAGTGGGTTAGTGTAGAGAATGCTTGGAACTGGGAAAGAACCACTTGCAATGATGGGGAAATATTTTAAATCTTCAGTGGACAGGACTAGAAACATATTTTTAAAACAGTAGGGTGAGCCAGGTGCTGTGGTACATCCTGTAATCCCAGTGACTTAGAAGGTTGAGGCAGGAGGATCCCAGCCTGGGCAATTTAGTGAGACCCTGTTTCAAAATAAGTTTTTAATAAGAAAGGACTGGGATGTTGCTCAGTTGTATAATGCCCCTGGGTTCCATCTCCAGTACCATAAAAAATACAAAAATAGAAATAAAAATAAATACCCCCCCCCAAAAAAAAAAAAAACAACCCCCCCCCCAAACAGAAAACAACAGCAAAACAGTAGAGTGGCTTTTTTGTTACAACTTGATCCCCTTGTCAAATCTATCTTTGCTTTTACTTCCTTCTTTTCAAGTGTATCTGTGGATTCTTAAATCTTCATGGTTTTTGTGATTGTTAAACAAAGATAGAGACTATTGTAATAAAGGCAAACACAATACAAAATAAATTTAACCATGCAGTTATGCTACATCTATAATTTGACATATTCTATACATATTATATAACATTTCTTCTTAAATTCTTCCTATTACATCTGTTCCGGTTCTTTCAGTGTAAGGAGTATAGTCCAGCATCAGTCCATCATGGCTTTTGACTCTAGTTTTTATTTAATTTTTTTGTGTGTGTGTTACTAGGGATTAAAGCCAAAGGTGCTCTTCTACTGAGTCATATCCCTAGCCCTTTTTATTTTTTTAATTTTGAGACAGGGTCTTGCTAAGTTTCCAAGGCTAGCCTTGAACTTGCAATCCTCCTGCCTCAGTCTTCCTGAGTCACAGCTGTGTGCCACCATACCTGGCATGACTTTGACTCAGTTTTGCTAGTAGAGGGCTGACTACAATGACAATGGCAATAATCATGATAACACTACAAGGAATATAGATTGAGTACTTACTATATGCCAAACACTGAGCTAAATGCTTTAATCCTCACAACAATCTGAGAAGGAAAAAGTGGTGTATTTCCTATTTTATGGATAGGGACACAAAAAACCACAGAGGTCTTAAATATTATCTTCATAAGGAAAATATCTACTGTGTTATAGAGAAGCTTAGATTTAAACCAAGGCATTCCCATCTCTTAAGGTCAATACTTAAAAACTATTCTAAAGTACTCCCCTGGTAAATT